CCCCAAAACCCCAAAACCCCAAAACCCCAAAACCCCTTTGACACTCAACGTGATTGAGAGAACATGGTTATATTAATTAATAAGGTCCCTGGTTGCCTTCCTAGTCTTGACACCATACTTCTTATACTGATTTTTCATCTTATTCTTCTGTTCTTCCTTCCTGACCTTTTTGTAAAGAGCCCTGACTTCCATGTAATACTGGCTGTAGAGATGCGAGGAGATGAATAGTTTGTACTCAAGAAGTTCTAATGCCTTAGACTCGAGGTCATTGATCACATCTATGGGAAAACTGGTGATTTCTGAGAAATCGGAGTTCCAATAACCTCCTTCTTCCCAGTACTTGCATGCCAAGATGAGACAGGTTAGCAGCAAGGGTCGCCAATTACTCATTCGTATTTCTCATCCCTTCTTAGTCATGAGGGTTTCTAGGTAGACTAAGGAGAGGAGGACACATTCTAGGTGAAGGTTGAGGGACCCGATCACTACTTCAAGGAATTCGTAAATCTTGTACTTGTTAAAATCTGTATCGATCTTTACTTTTGGGATGACTCTGTCTCTGTGCACAACTATCGAGCTTGAAGTTGATCCAAACGAATCAACCACAATGAAACTTTCAGTTCCAAGGTCCTCAAAGATCTTCTTCTGGTTGAAAAGGTTGGCCAGCTTGCTAGGCTTATCGCTCTGGCCATGAGAGTGGATAATATGATAATAAATAATAGTTGACACCATCTTGACCATCTTCTTCATGTTTTGGAGGTACATATGCTGGCCTCTGGCTTTAGACTGGAGGCTGATCAATTCCTTCCTTTCTTTTCTAATCTTATTTTTAAGCAACTTTTGGTTAGGCATTTTAGTAACGGAGATCTTATTATTCTTCACTTGGAAGTTCTTGTGTGGTACCACAATTGTCATTGATACATCCTTATATGCTGGCTTGTGTTCTACTCATTGTTAGATTCATTAAAATTAAATTTAGCTAAAATTGGAGAGAATTTATATGCCGGAATTTGGAAAAAGCACTTACTTAAGTTATAAGCTGAGAGTCCTAGCCTCCGGTTAAGTAGATATCAATGCTCATCATCTTGCTTAGTGCCTATATCTGGATTAGAGCCAATTTTTGGGTAAATATTTTTACTAGAGATACTCCTGAACTTCCGTTCTAGAGAAAATTTTGAAATTTTTTCTTCAGTTAAGTTGGGCTTAGGTCAACATCGGCAGCAAATTAAAGCCTAGACTGCAAAATTCTTTGGGATATGAGATGTTTTTAATGAAAATTTTGTGTGATTTAGCCAGCACTGAGGATCATGTATGGCTCAAAACCGGTCATTTAAAATTAATCGAACAAAGAACTACTGAATTCTCCAAAATCTGTTTATTGTAATTTGCATTGTCTTACCTGAATTCTTGGCACTAGCTCTGAGTTGGCCACCTACAAAAGTAGATGGTTCGGTATCTCTAGAAGGAGAGAGCTTTTGCTCTTCATCTCCTTCCTTTGGCAATATTGTTGGGGTTATAAATCCTTCGGAAGACTTAAGCACGTTACAGCCCAAAGACGCAGCCGATTGGCAGGCAGACAAAGACTCTTGAAGTAACTTAGGGTCCTCTAACGAATGGAACAAGTTTAGAGTTTTATGCTTGCAGAGCGATAAGGTATTATAAAGCTTCATTTTTGAGATTTGAGTGGGTTAAATATTATATATAGTCCAAGGTTTTAGAATTTAGAGGGGTTTTGGGGTTTTGGGGTTTTGGGGTTTTGGGG